TGAGTTCCAGGAGAGCTAGGGCTACAGGGAGACCCTGTCTCAGAAAGACAAAAAGACGAAGAAGAGGAGGGGGAGGAGCTGTGACCAAAAAAAAAAAAAAAGGCAGGAGTGGTAGAGCACACCTTCAACCCCAGCACTCAGGAGACAGAGGCAGAAAAAATAAATAAATAGGGGCTGGAGATATGACTCCAACAGGCATTACATGCATGTGGTACACTTAACATACAAGCAGGCAAAACACTCACACACTTAAAAAGCAAACAAAAAACTTGCTATATACCTGAGGTTAGCTTTGAACTACTGATCCTCCTGCTCTACCATCTTAGTGCTGGGATTACAGGTGTGTGTCACCATACCCAGCCCATGCTTTATTTTCATTTTTTATTATTTTTATTGTTATGTTTTATATATCTTTATCTTATGTGCATGAGTGTTTGCCCAAATTATATGTGTACCAAGTGTGTACAATGCATGTGGAGGCCAGAGGAGAACATCAGATCCTCTGGAATTGGAGTTACTGATGACTGTTAGCACATGTGAGTATGGGAACTGAACCTGGGTCCTTGGTAAGAGCTGGTGCACTGAGCCATCTCTCCAGTCCCTACATAGCAAGTAGTCTGAAGTCAGCCTGGAGACACATCAGACTCTCCAAAAAGAAGTATAGCCATGTTTCAGAAACCTCAGGAAGGCCCATGTTGTTGCAGCAGAAATCAAGTGAGAACCCACAGATCAAGTGGGAGGAATGCGGGAGGGGACAGGAGAAGGAAGTTGGATTTTATTAGAGCACATGCATGCAAGGGGAGCTCTATCCAAAGCTCCCTGGGAAATTCAGGCAGATGCAATCTTTTACAGACCCAAGTAGACAGCACCTTGTGTTATAGATAACATCACCAAAAACTTTTCAACCTTAACAAAATATCTTTGGCTGGCAGGCTGGGAGGCACTGGCTGGCTTTCCATCATTATTGGTTAGAATTTAAAATTATCTCTTTCCTTTTCTAGAGCTTTATACTAGACTACCAGTGGTTTGGCTGGCAGACCCTGGGGAAATGCTGACACAATTTACAAAGGGAAGAGCTCCTGCTCCTCCAGCCTCACCTGACCATCTCTTCCCTCTGCTTTATTGAGCCGTCCTATTCCTTGCCATGGTTTTGTTTCAGGTTTTTTCTACGTGCTCAAAACTGAATGTTCTAAGAGGCTGGAGAGATGGCTCAGCAGTTAAAAACACTGGTTGTTCTTGCAGAAGACCCAGGTTCGAAGCCCAGCACCCACATGGCAGCTAACAACTGTAACTCCAGTCTCAGGGGATCCGACAGCCTCTTCTTACCTCTTCGGGCATTGCACGGCATGGGTGCACTTACCTACATGCAGGCAATACACACAATACACATAAAATAAAAATAAACAAAAACAAAAAAACCCTGAATGTTCTAAATGTGAGCAACTTGGTCAAACTGAACATTATTAAAGTTAATTTAAACAGTCTCACGGTTAATATTCTCATAGAAGGCACATCTTTGCCAAGAAGGAACAGAGTAGAATTTGCATTTGAATAATTAAGTGTCCCTTATAAGGTTAAATCAAAGCTTTTATTTAAAGAGCTCTCTTCCACTGGGCGTGGTGGCACACGCCTTTAATCCCAGCACTTGGGAGGCAGAGGCAGGCGATCTTTGTGAGTTCGAGGCCAGCCTGGTCTACATAGTGAGTTCCAGGACAGCTGGAGCTACAAGGAGACCCTGTCTCAATAAAAGACAAAAAATAAAGAAATAAAGAACTCTCTTCCACCAACTTGTGTGGACAAATTAAGAGGGAAAAATGTATAGCTGCATCAGTGTATTTATGTCTACGCTTGAACGAGGAGGTACAAGCATCAGAAATTGAATGACTAACAAGACCCACCTGCATGCAGGCACTAGGCCCTTGCAATAGGAAAGAACCAGCTGACTAGGCAAGAGATGTGGGAACTTGAGTCTCTTATTAACATCTGATGATAGACAAGTCCCTGATTCCCCCATCCCCCAAATCAAAATAAAGCCACAGCCTGCCTTGCCCGCAGGCTACAAAGTCTGGCATACCAGCCAGATATTAAACAAAATCAATCCTTTCTTCTGCTGGCCAGTTGTTAATCCCCCAGGCACAATGACTGAGTTGCTGTCTCAAAACCATTAACATCATTATGACAATGAAAATTCACATAATCTGTGAACAGTGCAGCAGCTCCTCAGCACAGCTCACATATCTCCAACCCCCACGCACCCAGAAGCATCCAGTGGTACAGAACAGTGAGCAACAACTCAAATGAGCTGGCAAGGAGCAAGGAGGGAGGGCTGCCAGTCAGTCCCTCGACAACCACTTCCCTGCAGGTGAAAATGGGCTGCTCTTAAACTTTCCAGAGTGTGACTGACAGCTCAGTGGTCTCAGGCTTGCACAGGCTATGGGTCACCTACCTGATTTTCACTTCACATCCAAATTCATGCTTCTCACTGTTCACAGCCATCAACTGCCACTAAATCAAGGTTTCTAATCAGCCACTTGCATCATCGATCTGATGGGCTACTTATTACAAATGCAGATTCCTCCACCCCATTGAAAATAAGCATCTCTGGAATGGGTGTGTTGTTTTACTTATAATCTCAACCCTGGAAGGTGAGGCAGAAGGATTGCAAAAAAGTTCAGAGCCAGCCTGGGGCTACATAGCATGCTCCAGGCCAGCCTGGACTACAGTGAGGCCCAGTCTCAAAATGAGAGGGGGAAGGGGAAAAGACAATAAATATCTCTGGAATAACCTAAATATATTTTTAAACACTACCCTGGCCATCTTTATGCTCATCAAGTTGGAGGACCTCCACCTTAAAGCAATGTTTCTCAAACTGAAGGTCATGACCCATTTGGTTAGGAAATCAAATTAGTGAGTCATGACTACCAGCTGATATTTTCTAATGAAGTAGAAAAAAAGTTAAATAGAGTGCACTGCAGGTAGTAAGGGTAATAATTATTGTTTCCTGGAACTTATTTCGATTGTACACCTGTGCACAGTGCTGTAAAAGATATTCCTTAAGATGTATCCCACTCCAAGTTTGAAAAGGGAATTTTTTGTTTGGTTTGGTTTTTTTGATATTTGGTATCCCCCGATGCAATCCTATCTGTCCTAGAACTCCCTTTGAGACCACCCTGGCCTTGAACTGTGCAGTGATTCTCCTGCCTCTACCTCCAAAGTGCTGGGATTTACAGGCATGTGCCACCATGCCCAGGAAGAAACAGTATTCTCCATTTTCCACCAATCCCCAAGCTTCTCGGTTTTAACTCAAGCAGAGACATGTATGAAACAGTGTCACTGATTTGTTTTTTGAGACAGGGTCTCACTATGTTGTTCTGGCTGGCCTGGAACTTGCTATGTAGACCACGCTGGCCTTGAACTCACGCGTGCCTCTGCTTCCCAAGCCTGTCACTGATTTCTAAACTAAGGCACAGACCAATGAAGTTAGAGGTTGCGTCCAGAGCCCCCACTGCATCCCACTCCAGACCCTATCCTGGAACTGAGAACAAAGCAGGGCTCCAAAGGGGAAGTTTAACCAGCTCTTTTCTGGCTGGGCCTGTCCTAGTGCAAAGAACTCAAAGCCACTCTTACCACCTCTCAGAAGGGCAAAAATGGGGAGAGCAATGTAGTGGAGTAAAAGGAACAATGTTATACATGTACAAAATGTTATACTGAAATCATTGTGTGAACTAAATAAAGATAATGCAACGTAAAATGAATGACAATGTTCCTCATCAGGGGCAAGACTTGGCCTCAGCACTGAGCGCTTAAAGAAGTGAGGTGGTGACAGTCAGTGGTCAGAACTCAGGTGAGTCCTGCATCCGGAGACTACAGAAAAGGCAAGGCAGGGAAACCAGAAGCTGCAGAGCTTCGAGCACGTAAGATTTACTTCTCAACCCACTAGGTTCCTTGTGCCTCAATGTTCTGTAACTAGGGTACAAAAATCCTTACTCTTTTTGCCCAATGCTCTGGACCGGCAGCCCCACCTGGCTAGAATGAGGGAGTGAAAGAACAAAAGCTATCTTGTGTCTTGTTAGCCCTCAGACTCACCCGAAGTCAATGACTTAAGACCCTCCCCACGTGGCCAGAAGAAACAAATCAACAAAAAGGCCCCAAAGCGAAAACCCCACCTAGGTTCCGGGGCAGTTAGTCCTCCCGGGGGGCAAGACTGTGGAAGGCTGGGTTATACACAACAGGGACAGAGGATGATCACTCAGTTTTTCAAAAGTCTGTAGCTAAGAGTGGAGAGAGGCAGGCGCGTTTCCCCTACTCCCAGCCCGAGAGGGAGCGATGCCCCACTGCTTAGGGAGGGGCTCCGGGAGGGGCTCGGTAGTCTCACACCGTGACCCTGAAGCAGTGAGGGGTCGGGGTTGGTCCTCAGTGCCAGGTCTCCGGGAACGAGCCGCCGCGGAGGCACCCCTGGTGGGGAGGCAGGCGTGCGCCCACCCCCTTGGCAAGGACACCGGGGAGGCGCCGGGAAGCGCCGGGCAGGAACTCTTCGAGGCTCCCGGGGCCGGGGACCCGCGAAGCGCTGCGAGGACCCGCAGGGGCCGCGTCCGCCACCCTACAAGTGTCTCGGTAGAGACGCAGCGTGTCCCGCGAGGGCAGATGCTATCGGAGCCCCCGCACCGGGTCCCCCGGCGTGCCACCCACCAGAGACCGCGCCAGGGAAGGGCAGCGGCGGCGACCGTCTCCCAGCCCCACACTGGCCCGGCACCCCGAGCCCCGAACCGCGCCTCCCCGGCAGGCTGCGGCGCCCGCCAGTGTTTGTAAACAAACCGGTCACGTGGCGGCGCCTGCCCGCCCCCAGCGCCCCGCGAACCTTGGGGAGCCCCCGCCTGACCACACTATGGCCGAGCGCGGGAGCCCCACACACCTCGGGATGCGGGTCCCAGGTGCTCGGGTGGCGACTGACAGCGCCCCACGCCCACGCGCGCCCAGCGCCGCGCTCCCCCTACGCTCACCTGGCGGCAGTCTGCCCGGTCCGGCCCTCGCCAGGCTCGGCTGCTCCGAGGTGTGCGGCGGCGAAGGGCAGCTCGGCTGGATCGGGCGCTCCCGGCGCGCTCTTAAAGCCACAGTCTTCGCCACTGCCGCCGGCACCGCCGCCGCCGCCGCGCCGCATCCCTCCGGGTCCGGACCCGGGGCAACGGATGACAGACGCACCCCCGCGCCTATCCCCTCGGCTCAGCACATAGCAACACGCCGCGGGTAGGCCTGCCACGGCCGCAGCCCATCCGCCAGCAGCCAATCAGCAGAGGACGGAACTCCGCCCCTGCTTCCCCAGCCTCCTGCCCCCGCGTGCGAGGAGTGCGGCGAGTGCCTCGTCCTGCCACTCGGGGCAGCTGGCGGGCGGGCGGGACTGGGAGGAGAGGTGATGGGGATGGGTGGGCTCTGGGAAGTAGAAGGAAGCTGTTTGTTTGGGCTTGCTGTGTCCCCAGGTCAGGGCTGGGATTCCCAGGACCTGGGGCGATGTTGGACATTGGGATTCTTAGTGCTTCTACTTGGAGGACCAAGATTAGCAATTCCGTCCTTACCCGGACCCTGATTTACCAGAAGTGGCCCGCAGAGCCCAAAGCAGCTGAATTTAGTAAGAAAGAGCCAATCCCACTTGACCCAGGCGTGCCCTGCTCAGAAGCAGGACGTTTTCTCATTTCTCTCTGCCCTGCTAAGTAATTCGGTCAGTGAAAAGTAGGAAGGGGTTGCCTGGTGTGCACGAGACCCTGGGTTCAAGCCACAGTGCTGGGGGCGGGGCGGGGTGCGCAAAGGAGTTTTAGGGATGCTGGAATGCCCGATTGCTGCTGATTTTCCAAGGTCTGCAGAGGTTGATGGGGTTCCTTAGTTAACCCCAGAGACTAGAATAGGAGTGGTCAGTGACCAAAGAGGAGGAGTCCTCATTCTGGGTCAGTGGGGTGGTGCTTTTCAAGGAAAAGAAGGTTAAAAAATAAACTCATGACAGTCGGGAAATCCAGGGAGGCACCAGGTGGGTGGAGTGGGACAGAGTCTCCCAGCAGGAAAACAGGTCAATTTGATAAAGAATCCTTGCCAGAGCCAGGGAAGAGAGCAGGTCTACTAAGCCACTGGAGTTCTGCAGTGCATTGGAAGAAAGGCCTTACTTGGATTATAGGAAAAGAGAAAAATAAAAAGAAATCACATAAATCCCAGGCAGGTGCACGCTTGTAACCCCAGTTCTCGGGAAGTGGAGGCAGAAGGCTCAGGAGTTGAAGGTCATCCTCAGCTATATAGCCAGTTCTAAGCCAACCTAGTTACTGGAACCAAAAACAAAAAAGATATTTTCAGATACAAGGTGCTGCAGGAAGCCCAGGTAACTCCACTTCTCCCATACAGCAGTTTAACCATAAATTCAGTATGGTGTTTGGGTAGGTCCCCAAGTAACTCAAAACCTCACTTGTAACTCCACCCAACTGTTTTTAAAATATATCCAATCAACCAAGTTGTATTGTTTATGAATATTAAATGGTTAGGCATGAATTCAGTTTCAATGTCAGTAAAAACAAAAACCTTGTACTCAGTAGATACCAGCCTTGAACTTAGCAGTTTCAATATAAGGGTGCTGTCATTGTTTACAGTTGACTGGTTTGGAAAGTCTAAATCATGGGGGTAGGAAGAAGCCTTCAAGTAAAAAGAACAAGAAAGATTTGGTGTTTAATCTTGAAAGAAGATGTATTGGGGTTGGGGATTTAGTTCAGTGGTAGAGCCCTAGGTTCAGTCCTCAGCTGGGGGTGCGGGGTATGTACTGAAGTCCTTAGATTTCAATTTGATTACTGGCACTTGTCAGCCTCCTAGGCAAGTTTCTTTGTGTGCCCTAGGCCTTAGTTTCCATAACTTAAGGAAGACTGGGGTCTAGGAACAGAGGTCCTTGGCAGAGATAGTGCTTAGTGTACATGAGGCTCTGGGTTCAATCCCCAGCACTGCAAAATAAAAGAGAGCTGAAATGAGGTCATTTCTGAGCTCTGGAGTTTATAAGGAACCAAAAAGTCAAACTTACTGCATTTCTGCAATATTGTGTTAGTGAATATGTTTGTGTCCAGAGATCTCCACCTTCCTAACAGTAGATTCTGCATTGGTTTATCACCCCAAGATACTGGTATGTTATGTAACAGGATTAGAGGCTACTGTTTCTGTTTTAAATAAAAGATAATCTTTAGAAGAGCTGCCTGGTGCTGGGTGCTCTGAGGACTCCTGCAGGCCTGCTGTGTGCTTGCAGGAGATGGGAAGAGGCTGCAGAACCACGGGGCTGGAAGACAATAGCACCAGCCAGCCAGCAAAAAAATGTTAAGCCAGGTCATGCCTCCTCCCAGCCAAAAGAGACAAACATTACAAGCTGACAAGGAAGAAGGAGAACTGAAACAAAGAAGTAGGTGAGCCAAGTTCTAGAAGCTACTTCCCTCTGAACCCAAACACCTTTGTTTGCCCTCAGTACACAGTTACTCAGTGCCCATCTTGAGCATCAGTTCCTGCTCCACTTGAATGTATTCTGAGAACGAATATACAGAGAGGAAAGAAGCTCAGGCTAATGGCCTGAGAATATACGGATACTTATCCTGGGTGCAGAAACAGAGGTGAAGCAATGTAGAGACAGCAAGTAATGTATTCAGAGTCAGACAGAGGACTGAAAAAGGAACTGGCTGTGGTTGTGCTTTTAATTCCGACCCTCAGGACGCAGAAGCAGGCAGATCTCTGTGAGAGTGAGGCCAGCTGGGGCTACAGGGAGACCCTGTTTCAAACCACCACCACTACCACCACCCCCCCAAAAAAAAGGGAAGAAAAGGACAAAAGACCTTTAGCAATAAAGAGAGGTTCCTGGCCTCACAGGCATATGATCAGCCTGGCTTTCTCGGTGGAACCATGCTGTGTGAAATCAAATTTGTCCATTTCCAAAACCTCCACAGTCACTCTGTTCTAGCTCTTCTCTTACCAATCCCTTCTTCCCACTTTTGTAACAAGCAAGGTTTTTTTGTTTCTTGTTTTTTTTTGATTGATTGTTTTGGTTTTGAATTTGGTCTTTTTAAGATGGAACTCATTATGTAGACCAGGCTGGCCTTTAACTCACAGAGATCTACCTGCCTCTGCCTTGGATTAAAGGCGTGCACCACCACACCCAGCACTTGTTTTTGTTTTTGGAGACCCAGTTTCCCTGTAGCTAAACCTGGAGTTGAGTATACCTGGACTCCCTCTCCCAAGTGCTAGGATTAAAGGTGTGCACCTCCACACCCAGCATGTGCAAGGTCACGTAATTTTTTTTATTTTTATTTATTTAGTAGTGTGATTGTGTGGAATGCACTGGAGAGGACCACTTTCAGGAGTTGGTTCTCAACTCTCTTCTTGTTTTTGTTATTTGTACTGATTAGAGAAGGCTATCCTGTCAAGATGGCCAGTGAGTGGGCTAGGTGAGTAGCATACTCAAGGGCCCATTTCCACCTTGTTAAGGCAGGGTCTCTCTTGTTTCTTTGGACTGGGCACTCCAAGCCAGCTGGTCTGACAGTTATAGGCACATTCTCCATCTGGCTTTTTACATGGGTCCAAGGCTCAAACTCAGGTCCTCAGGCTTGTACAATAAGCACTTTAACCTGTTGAGCCATGTCTCCAGTCCCAAGGTCACTATTATAAGCCCATGTTTTATTCGACACAAAGTCTAAATCTGTAGCCCACCCTGGCCTCAAAGTCAGAGCAATCCTCCTGTCTCATCCTCCTAAGCCAAAATTTCTTCCCCCAATCTCCCACCTGTGTGTGTGTGTGTGTGTGTGTGTGTGTGTGTGTGTGTGTGTGTGTATGTATGCTTGTGTGTTGAGAGGTCTCTAACTCAGGCTTCCAAGCTAGCCTTGAACTCCCTAGTAAACAAGGATGACCTTGAATTTCTGACCCCTCTGTCTCAACTTCTCAAGTGCTGGGATTATAAACATTCACCCACCATGCCATACTTAGTTTTATATGGTACTGGGGATTGAACCCAGGATTTGGTACATGCTAGGCAGGTTTCCTTTTTTTTTTTTTCATTGCTATTATGGCATTTTCTTGCAAATGTGTCATTATACTTCATTCTAATTTGTCCTTCTCCCCACGACCCTACTCCCACCTTTTGGTTTTGACTTTGATTTGTTGTCTTGTTTTCATTTTTCAATTTAAATCTTTTGAAAATTTCATGAGTATGTATTTACATTATTTCCACCCTTTTTCCCCCTCCAATTCATGTAACCCAGGCTAGCCGAAAACTCCCTTGGTAGCAGAGGATAACCTTAAACTTTGGATAATCCCCCTGCTTCAGACTCCTGAGTACTAGGATTACAGGCCATGAGTTACCACACCTGATTACATGCTCATTTTAACAGCTCAAGACATTTGAAGTAATCCCATCTTCCATTCACTCCCCTCCCCCAATCCATCAGCAGGTCAAATCAGCTTTACTTCAGAATAGACAATAGATGCTTACTCTGACCATGTCTGTCTCTACTGCTGCTGCCCTGGTCTCAACCTTTCTTGCCAGAGGAAGCACAACATCCCAGTGGATCTCGCTGCTTATAACTCATTCTCTACTTAGCGACCAGATGGTACTTCTTCAATGCAAACTCCTTATGGTGGCCCACAGGCCTACTCACAGGGCCTGCCAACCTCTCTGGTCTTCCTGGATCTGTCCTTTGCTCACCCTGCTCCAGGCCTAGTCTTCCTGTACATCCCTGGGCCCATCCTCCCATATACTTTAAGTATCTCTAGAGCAAGTGTTAATGCTGTAAACAGTTACAAACTGTTCTTTAGGAAATAATGACAAGAAAAATAAAGTCTATGTACATTTTTTTTCCTTAGATATTTTCAAACTGTGTTTGGTTGAATCCATTTGTGTTTGCTGTTTCCTCCCCAAGAACACGTTGCCCCAGAAAGCATCCTCACCACTTGGATCTCAGGTCAAATGCTTCCTCCAGAGAGGTCTCCAGACCACTCTGTCTTACGTGTCCCACCCCCAGGCTCTATCATACCTTCTCCCAATTTATTTTCTTCATACCATGTGATACCTGAAGTCATCTTGGTCAATTATTTTAGTTTGTTTTGGGTCCTACCTTGCTCTAAAGTATAAATTCCATGACAGAGTTTTCTCTCTCTCT